AAAATACTTTCTTTAATTCTTGATTAAGATAACATCTATCTCCATTAAGCTCTAATTTTTTAAGTTTACTGCCTGCTTGTAGAAACATATTAGCCAATGAAGTCATAATGGAAGAACTAACCGCCTCTTCAAGTATTAATCCATCGATCTTCAAGTATTTGAAGTCCTTACTTATTCGGCTATATCTTTAGGAATTTAAGATCCTTACTTGTTCGGCCATAATATTTCGTTAGTTTGGAGATCTTCAGCTATATCTTCATTAATTATTCCATTGATCTTTAGGATCCTACTTGATTGTTATTAAAGAACATCTAAGAATATTTCTGAGAGGTTCAGTGGCATTTTAGTAAACTCGCGGGTTATTCCATTATTTAGGTTATCGGTTATATATTTAATATGCTGTGTATATTTAAATAAAGGTTTGGGTAGTTTTGCAGTGCTTAACATTTAATGACAAAAAGACATTTCGACTTTTTATGGAGCAAGAGACGTATCGTCAAAATTTTATATTTAAAAAAGTAAATTATACAGTAAAAACGTCATAATACCACAAAGTCACGATATACCGATACAATATAAATTATAATCTAATATAAGTATGATATCGTAATATATTATATATACTATGTAAATTATATATATCGTAATATATATGTTGTGCTTCAGACTAACGCTTGCCTCGGATCACAGCTGACGCACATCAGGCGTAGATTGTGCGTAACCTATCGATCGGTCATTACGCACAGAATCAAAAGTATTATTGAAGTTGAACGTGATGAGAAGACTTAGACAGGAGGAGTATGAAGTGAAAATTTAGGCAAAAAAAAAACTACGTATAGAAAAAAAGTACATATTAATTGAAAATAGAATGTGTCACGAAAACTCGGGCAAAGAAATTTAAAGAAAAGAATGGAGGTGCTGATGTAAAAAAATACTACTGGAAGTAAGACGACGCCAAAATGATTCAAGTTACTAGAGTTAAAAAAGACGCCAAAGTGATTTAAAGTAAAGAATGCTACCAAGTCAAAAGTCTTTCATCCAATTTATTTTACTCTCTAAACTTTCGTCAGATTGCAGTTTAGATGATAGATCAATAGTTTATGCACCTCACTTGACGATCTGAATCGGAGGTGCGTCAGCTGTGATCTGAGGCAAGCGTTAATCTGAGGCACAACATATAGTATATACTAAATACGTATAATGCGTAAATTACAAGATAACATTAATTTATAATACAGTAATATCGATAATTATATAGACTTTCGATCTTTTGATTCTCTTTTTTACGGCAAAAAAGGTGTTCGCAAAAGTTGCAAGTGGGTTTAAATAGATGTAAACTTGTGACTTTACAGTAGGTAACTATTTCTGTGCTAGAAAAGATAAAGTCTAATAAATTCTTATTTATATACAATACAGTACAATTGCATAGTAACGATTTTTGACATATCATTCAATAAATTTCACTTTAACAAAAAGATTTTATTTAGATTTGTCACATTCGCTACATGTGACGGTATTCTAAAATTGGAGTGAGAGAAAATAATGATAAATAGTGAAAAAATATAAATACTTGTCTATGGCTTTTAGAAAAACAAATAAATAAAAGGCTGTCAAAAAGTATTTAGGCTTGAAAATTTGTTTACATTTAAGCGAGGCTTTTATTATAAAAATTATTTGACATTTAGAAAAGGTTAAGATTACATAACGATACGAATGGATGATAACCGTATTCAAATTGACTATATACATTAAATAAATGATTTTAATCTTAAACTATGCATTTAAAACTTTATTGAAATTATACTGTATATATATTGATTAGGCTGTCCAGAATTATGCAATTATAAATTTGTATATTAGGACTTTTTAAAGACCTAAGGACCCTAGGTTCTTAAATTTGGACTTGGTCTTTAAAGACCAGGCTTAAAGTCCCGGACCTAAGGACTTTACCAACCCTAGTAGCAACCCTATCTTATTCGCTTGGTTGTAGGAGATCTAATTTTAGTGTCAGAATCGTTAAATTTTTCTGATAATGAATTGATTTCTTCACGAGACCGTTGGACTTGGTTAGCAAAATTGTTATATAAACCGCTAGACGCACTCGTATTAGCTTGATTCAGTTCAAAGACACTCTTTGTCATAGTTTCTGAATCCATTTTTGTTCTGATGAATTGATTCTGAACTTCGGAAAAGCCTTGAGTTACATCCGTGGTAAATGAATTAAAAGATTGAGCATGTTGCTTTTGTAGTTCTTGTGTCTCTTTAACTGCGGCACTTGCAAATGTATCTAACGATATTATCTTTGATCTAAGTGCATCTTTACTTTCATCCAATTGTGTATATATGTTATCTTCTATGGTATCAATGCGTACTAGTCGATTTTCATTTTCTAAAGCTGATAGATTTTCCTTGGAAGCATCATATCTATTATTAAAGTTGGTCAAATAAGAAGTGTTCGCAACATTTATGTCATTAGCAACATTATTGCACGCTTCATCAAGTGATTTAACGGAATCGACATTCTTTTGAATTACATCTTGAAAGTTATTAATGACATTTTCGATTTTAGCTGAATGTGCATCACCAAATTTTTTCATTGCTTCTGACACAATGGCTAAAACTTCTTTTTCCATTGATTTTCTTAATAGAACATCTTCCTCTGCAAGTTGTGTCAAAAGATGTTTTTGTTCTATCATACAATCTATTTGAGAATTGGATGTTTCATGTGTGAAATTACGGAAAGAATCGACTGCTTGATTTTGAGACGTGATATGTTCTTGAGTTGTTTTCATTAGACCAGATAAATCTTCACCGAATTTCACTTGATATGATTGAACCTTTTCGAATTGATTTGATAAATCATTTTGGAATGTATTGAACGTCGCGGATGCATTATCTCGTAATTCTTGACTTTTTTGATCCATAAGTTTTAGAGTTTCTTCACGGAATTTTGATAGTTCAGAATTTAAATTAACGGCAATTTGTTCTTGATTATCAAATATTTGAATAATCTGATCTTTTTGTATTAAGGATTGATCGATACGTTCCTCTATACATTTAACAACAGTGGAAATTTCATTTTCGCGTCGTTCCATAAATTCTCTTGCTTTGTTATATATCAATTCACCAAATCCAATATGTACAGATTTTATTTCATTAAATTTATATTCTAATTGAGATGTTACGGATAACATCATTTGTTGAAATTCTTGAAATACTTTTTGGTGATGATTATTAACAGAAATTTGCCGTAAAAGTTTTCTATTAATAATAGAATTTTCTTGTTCAAATTTTTCAACCTGTTGTTTTAAAGTTTCATTCGACTTTTTCAACTCCTCATTTTCATCTTTTCGACTTTGATTTTCATCTACTAGATTTTGATAAGTATCTTGTGATAAATAAATTCCATTTTTTTCTCTAGCAGCTAATAGATCAGCTCTCAAACGTTCAATTTCACCAATATATTCTTTGATCAAAGCTTTTTTAGTAACTCTTTGATTTGCAACAGGCTTATTAAGAATGTTCTTTGCACGTTGAGCATAATCTAAAGTAGATATAGTTTCTTCATAACTTAATTTTGCAGGAGAAATTGTCGCGATTATACAAGTTTTTGTATGACCACCAAGAGAATCTTGTAGAAGACGTGTTAACTTGCTTTCTCTATATGGTATATGTTGATTATGTTCATTGAGACTATTGATACATCTACCTAATGTTAACAAGCTTTTATTGATTTTTCCAGCTTCTTTTGCACGTAAATTTTCAGCACCAGTTCTACTAATATTTTCCGAACCAGCCAAATCTACTAAATTAAATTTTCCAACTTTTAATAAATCTTCACCATCAGGCATAGTTTCCTTAATATGAACAGTAATAAGGAATACAGAATGAGAACGACTAGAATTCTTATTATAATTTGTTTGAGCGACTTGACGTTTTATTGAACCTTGTTTTAAAACGTTTATTCCATCTTCAGCACTTTTAATAAGTACTTCTTCGTGACCTTGAAGAACACATTTTCTATTTACGTCATCAAGGATCTTTAATTGTCTAGTATCACTATCAGAAGAAAGTAAATCTTTTAATTCTTCATTATATAGTTCAATATAAGAAATTTTAACGGAAAAATCAGCTTGTTCAGCCTCCAAAGTATCAAATAGATAATATAAAGAACGTGGAATAACACCGGCATCGGGGCTAATATTACCGTTGCAAAGGTCAAGTTTTCCCTCCATAGTAAAAGTTTTTTCCAGTAGAAGTTTGACCATAAGCGAATAAAGTACAATTATATCCAGCTTTAACTTCATGTAATATTGGAATTACAATAGTATCAAAAATTTTACTTTGATCAGCGTCAGAACCAAAAACTTTATCAAAAGTAAAAGTTTTATGAGGCATCATATCTTGAGTATTTGACCAAATTTTAATTTCACGAGGAGTAGCTTGAACAATAATTGGAGAATTTGCGGCGACTTCACGTTCAATTCTTGCACGACAACGTACAACTACTTGAATATTAATTGCTTTTTCTCCTTCTTTTGTTGTAGAATTTTCATTATTGCTTCTTCTACGTTTTTTTGACCTTTCAGATCCGGTAAATTCACCATTAAATGACATGTTGTCCATATTTTTTTGATAAAGAAAGTATTATTGGTGATTTGTTTACAAAAAAAAATAAATAAATCGCGTATTATATAATAAACATAAATTGTCGATCAGTGATTAAATGATTATCAATCCAATCAAAACAAAAACCTTACCTGTTGTTACGTCAATATACTGTATGAATGCTGGAATATCAAAATACATTCACCGAATTGAAAATATTGAAAATTTGAATATCTGATACCCCCGGGTCTGTTACTTGGATTCAAAAGTATAAGACCCGAGTCTATTATGTGGTCACGTATTATACTCGTATTATATCAGATATAGGGTTGCTTGATTTTAATTGGTCAATTATCTTTATACCGCTCCCCTCATAGTAGACCCTCCTCCGTACAGCGGGTCTGAGTCAATTTTCACGCAGGTTTAAAGTAACAGACCCGGGATGGATTTACGGTATGTTATTCAACCGATTAATGAAATTTCAAAGTGATAATACCAAATATAAATTTCATCACATGGCATAATACGGATTAAATAGTAAAATTTAAGCTTGTTAAAACATTTACTACGTATCAGTTACAGTATATCGATATTACACACTGTTTGATTCTAAACCGTTATAAATTTCGTAATCATAAATTTGCAATGGAAATTTGAATGATATAACAGATAAGAGAATTCAATAATATCAAATATGCAGATTTTGGATTAACTCTATCAATGACTACGTAGTCAATAAATTATAATTTGACAAATTTGACAGTGATTCTTATTTAAACCATTTATTAAAGAATAACTGAATCTCAAAAATGTTCTTTTTTTAAAACATATCAAACATATATATATATATTTAAAAGGCACATACAGTTAGACGTCTTAACAATCAATCAAACCGATCTGCAATTAATCAAGAAATGTTGACTAATTATATGTGATGTTACGTATATTAAATCCTTATTATTTATAACTGAATGGATCGGAGGTAAATTTTTAATAGTCGGAAATTGAATAAGTGAGCTGCCATTTCGATGAACAGCTACGTAAATGCTTGTTTTTCGTTCACCTAGATTTAAAAATTTTTCAGCGAAGAAGACTCAAAACTTAAAAATTTTGTATATTTAACGGATAATTAAGGTTATACCTTTTTTTCGAAAATATTTTCGCATTACCTATGCTACTTTCAGTGCGAATAACAACTACAAAATTACTTGTTTCCGCAAATCAATTTTCGTTAATGATTCTATAAGTCGATTTTGTTGCAACAAAAATTTAATTTGTAAATAATTAAAAGGCGAAGCCAGTGAAACTGAAGTTGAAGCTTCGGCAACTGGTTGATAAAAATTCATTTATTAGGTTTTTAGAGACAGCGAAGATTTTGAAAAATTGAGAGTATGCTCAAGCATTTAATTCGATAAATGCCGTCATTGATTGTGATGCTTGAGCATTATCATGATCGTTATTTAATTAATTGATTGAGATGTTTGAGAACACTCTTAATACTGTAATACAGTATATCTAATCCTCTATTTCTTATAGTTTTTGAGATATAGCACACGAATATCCCCCGGTATAAATTAATAAAAATAACTTCTAATTTGCAGAACCATTAATCATAAACCATGCAGAGCTGAAAGCATTGGTGTTTCAAAAAGTAATGCCTAAAAGAATGACTTCTTAAAAACAATTTACGTGCGTATAAAAATTGGTATACAAAACAGTTTGAAAAGCAAACCGATACTGTATTTACTTATCCATAGAGCTATACTTGCCGTACTCAATACTAGATTAGTCATACTAGATTAGTCATAATATACTGTATTAGTCATACGGTACTAGAGCTTACAGATAATAATATTCGAATATTTCGCTGAATGACTAATATTTGCTTATGTCGAATAAGGTTTGTATTCGAATTATTCGTCAGATAACTATTTTATTCGAATTATTCGTCAGATAACTATTTTATTCGAATATTCGTCGAATTACGAATATTATTCGAATAACGAATATCAAATATGAATACGAAGCTCTATACGGTACAGTATTAAAAACTTGCAAAGTTTTGGCATATACTAAGTTATTACCTATTATATACAATCTATATATACTGTATAATAAACTCTAATACGTAATAACGATAAGGTTTTTTACTACTTTATACTTTTTTTATTCGATTGATTTTTTTTTAAAACTTTAATGGTGTAGTCATTACGTACTGTCTGCTATTAGAATCGCTCCTAATAAAAATATTCGATGCAACCGTTTAAATAAAAAGCTCGGGAATTTTAGCTAAATACAGTATTGTAGATATCCTTAAATAATAAATAACATTAGTCATATGGTACTGTATGTGACTCATCAAGGTCTCATGACAAGTTATGAAATATTTATTGGGTACGTATGTGAAATAGACGTGACTATTAACTCTTTCTCCTTGCTTTCCGCGTTCGCAAGAGGCGAATGCTAAAAATGTGGAAGCAAATAAAGACTTTTGTTGAACCTCTTGAACGGTTCATAACAACTTCTAGCGTCAAAAAAACAAGTTTATCTCATACTAGTTGCACTTCACAACTTTCCAAATCTATCAAACATGTGTCTGAACCTCAAAAACAGTTTACAAGCTCAGCTTTTGTAAACCGCGTAGAGAAATCAAAACTTTTGCGTTTTCTTCAAGATACTTTTCCTCTACTTAAATCACTTACGCCACTTGAGATTCCCGCTCCTGTAACTAGTACTCAAATTTCACTTCATTTTTATAAATCACAAAGATCATGTTTCCTTCACAGCTATGGGCTTATGCAACCTGCTGGTGCAAGAAATGTATTTAACGGTGGAATTAGAAATTTTTCAACTGTACAAACTACCATGATAAATAATTGCGCTGGTAATGGTAGCGCCATCCTTGCACAACTAGGTTTCAAGCCTTTCTCTGCGTTTGCTACTAAGACCGGATCTTTATGGGCTCAACAGTTTCAAATGAATAATGTTGATCACGTCAAGAAAAATAGGCCCACAGATCTTAAAATAATGGATCAAAAAAAGGTTTTCACTGAAAGCAAAGGTATTATTGAGGCTATACAAAAAAAGAATATAATCAATGAGAATAAGCAAAATATGACTAGAATAGTTTGTCGTTCCAACATTACCAATTCGCCTAAAAAAAGTGAAGCTGCTACTGAGATCATGGATGATAACGCCATTGTCACTAGTGATAATGCTCAAATCTACATGTCTTTTGTACTTATTTCTTCATTGTTTTTAGACCCTAGATTCAATTCAATTACTGATTCGATCACTAATAACTCTCATCAAATGAATCAATTAAATCCATCATTTATTCAAAACCTTGGAAAGTTTGCAGAAATGCAACATAGACATATGGTGGAAATTATTTCTATTCTAACGTTATTGTTAAAACACGAAAAATATGAACTGGAACTCTTTGGTTACGAATTGAGAGTGTATTTTCCACCAGAAATGAGTATTAGTGATGTGAAAAATTTATTACAAACTTTGGGTATTAATTCAGAGAGTCCTTATTTTAAACTCAAAGAGATGATGAATCTTGCTTTGAGTATCGCATTATCTAATTCAACCGATGAAACAGATATTAACTTATCGGATTCATTTCTTATTAATTCGTTCTCTTCGCCTTGTATGACACCACCAAGACTCAAACAAGAATATATCCATGAAATTAATGAATTTCTTGCACTTGTTGATAGTCTCATTACCGAGAAAGATAGTTTTGGAAAAAAGGTTAGAAATGAACAAAATTCAATGTGAAATTTAAAATTTAACTTGTTATTATGAATAAGTTTATCAGGCTAGAAATGAACAAAATTTGATGTGAAATTTAACTTGTTATTATGAATAAGTCTATCGTACTTTTGTTTACAAAAGTTGTTATAGTCATTATATATTATGCTTTTGTTTTTTTTTATTGTTATATTGATTCGGCTAAGTCGACTATACCAAGTAGATTATTCGTGGTATATACTGTATGATTATAAAAATATATATATTCTAAAATTTTTTAGTATTTAGTTTTTTTAAAAAAATTAGTTTATTTAATGATCTCAACATGGATGTTATTCTTACCTTAAATTTTGTTGAATATACATTCTTATAAATATCATCCTAACTGCGTCCTGTACGTAATACGCAAACCTTGTTATTAATGGTAAAGAAATTTTTTTTTTTGGACGCATATATTATACGTAAAAAGATATATACTACGTATAAATGCGCCACTTACTTGTTAATTATCGTAATTTACTCGCGGCCAGTCAAAATACTGTACGTAATTAATTAAAATGAATGAAATAGGACTGTTAATGGATATACTCCATTGTGAAAAGAGCCAATGGTGTCAATGAAGAAACCAATAGAAGACCCAATGGTGTTGATACAGCCAGTGGAGGACCCAATGGTGCCAATAAACCTGATAGTTCTAATTTCTAACCCAGTATACCCAATAAACGCAATATGTTGATATTAATAAAATTGTTGGCTTCCATTGGTTCAATTCGGAAATTGCTCAATGGAGCAACGTCAATGGAGTTATGTCAATGGAGTTGGCTTCCATTGGCTCCATTCATAAATTATTCTCAATGGAGCAATGTCAATGGAGCTGTTCTCAATGGATAAATGTGACAACTCTAATTTAGGTGTATAAATCACTTCATGCCGGTGTGCTACACCACTCTAGATTGCTATAGGAGTCAAATAGTGTAGTTTATATTTCAGAGCTACTATTAATACTACTCTAGATTAAAAATATAAAAGATTTTATCAATTGTTGTTTATTAAAATAAAGAATTTTATTAAGACAATCAGCGTTATACGTAGCAAATGAAGTTGTTCTAGATATCAAATTATAAATTATATATAGTTAGCAAGACGTTAAAATATATATATTATAAATTTAATCCGAAGTAACATTTTTCGGGTAAAATTATAAAATTTAATTTGGAGAAGTGGTTTAGTTTTGATGGTTACATTGGTAGAGTATACACCACACCACTCTTGATCACGAAAATCTGAATTAGATACTGTTGTAGATGTTAATTCAATGACCAGTAGTATTTTTAAATTAAATTAACAAGCATAGCTCCGAATATTTAACAGACTATTAAGACAAAATTTATTTTTCGCTAAGTATAATATATAGCTATTGAGTAAATTTTGGCTACGGATACGTACCTAACAGAGATTATTTTCCTAATTTATATTTGTTTAGCAAAGTTAAAATGAATCTGCCAATGAAACAATGGAACAATAGAATAGAACAATAGAATACTGTATATTTGGTAATGGAATAAAATTGGCAGTACTAATTGATTTAAACCTGTTTTTTGTTATACGTATACTTAGCAATCGTTACGTAACATGTTTGATAACAATTCGCAATCGTATCCAAAACCACATTGATTATTAATTAAAAGACCATAGGTTTCATCAATACCGATATGTATAAAAATATGTATAAAAAAATATTATAATAATATTATATGTATAAAATTTGTGACCATTAAATTTGTCCCATTTAGGAATAAAACTCGAAAAGTCAAAAAAAAATCAACTAGTCTCGATATGGGTAATAGAACACCCGGTATAATAAATTTAAGGTTGTTCCTAAGAAGAACCATAGTGATTTTCTTTTTAATCTGAGAAACAAATGAACATATTAATATAACTTTATTTGTATTAAAGTATGGGTTTTAACTTTATAATTAAGGCTTATTGTCCGGAGCGTAGAGGACTTACAATGATAAATAAATAAATATATATATAGTATATAAATAAAATGGCGACCTACCCACATATTATTGCATATTCCAAATATATATTTGTCGTCATTATAGAATTAAATATATTAGTAAGTAACCGCCAATCAGCATGCACGTATACATATCCGATGTTTTTAGGTAATTTTTAACTCCAATATTTATGTTTCGGACTTATAATTCCTATCTATTTACACTATATATATATATAAATGATGTTGAGTACGTAATAAATCTTTTATTATTGAGATTTTGGTCTATATAGTTTTTATAATTTTGTACGTACTATACGTATACGTATCATTATTGAAAATTTTATTATATAACAAAATATCACTCGTTATACGTATAAAATTTCATTTTATCCCACTTTTAAATATAACAATAATAAAATATACCTTTATATTTTCTTGAAAATATAACTGTAAACTTTAATAGTTGATAAAACAATGCAAATTGGTAGACTTTTTCATTATGCTACTGACGCAATCCTTATTTCTGCCTTACTTGCTGGTATTAAAAGGTCTACTGGGTTAACGTAGGTTTATTTTTGCTTTTTAAAGGTTTAATCGTTTAATCGCTTTATCGTTATAGAATAACATATATATATATATATATTTCTTTGGTAGATTTGCCACAGAACGAATCAAAAACAGAAATATTAGAAATATTGTAAACACATTCCTTGGTGTTGGCGAATGGGTTATGGATAAATGTATTATGTATATGAGCTCTTCACCTTACTTTGTAAAAAAGCTGATTGATTATAATCCAGAATCACGAAGTCTACATTTCTTTTAGCTTAATCATGAAATCTTTATTAATTTAATATAACTTGTAATATCAAATGAACTTTTTATATATTGTAAATCTATGGTGGTTTTGCATCTATTATATATTTTTATTATATATATATTTTTTTTCTTTAAAAACATACCGTATTAACACCCATGGGCTTTATTTCGAAACACGTAATTAGAAGAGAGCTAATTAATTAATCAAAAACTTTTAATAACAGAAAAATTATGATTTGCATTTAGTTAAATTAATTATTATATACTGTAGCTTCCCTTCAAACTAGATTTTATTTAAGTATCTTATGTAACCTATTTAATAAATAAAAATGCAGAAAAACTTAATACGTACGATTCTAATTTGATTAAATTTAAAATTATACGTATTAATAAAATTTAAGTTTAAAATTATATTAATAAATTTAGATTTATATTAATAATTTTAAAATTTTATGAAGACCACACAAATTTAATTTCTTGGTTTCATAACATGAAGTTTTTAAATAGACTCGATGAACTTATAATAAATTATAAAAAAAATTGAATTATTTATATATCAAAAATATACAATTTTGAAAAAATCTTTTAATTAAAAAAATTTCTCAATAAATTTTTATTATATACAGTATATAGTATATATATATTCTATATAAATATAATAAATAATCGCATTCTTTACTGTTTAAAGATTTTTTAGGATTGGCTAATATATATAAGTAAAAAAACACATTGCATAATAAATATATAGTATATTTGCATAATAACTAAACCATAAATGTCTAAGTTTCATAAAAATAAATAAAATTTTTTATGAATTTTTTTTCAGGGTTTACTCACCATTTATTAATTATTAAACTATATACCTTTTTTGTATACAATCACATATATACATTTCGTTAGGACTTGAAAAAAATCTACATCTTAAGAGAAAAAATATTTTATATTACTCTATATAACTTGAAACTAAAGCTGGTGCTGCATTTAGAGAGAATTTAATTAGACTTGCACTTAGAGGATATGCGCCTAGAGAGGGTAGACAGTATTAGTATATACAGCAGCGCGGTTAATATCTAATAAAACCGGTAACTTTTTTTAATCACTGCAGATTTCCGGAATATTTTACAAGTGCCGGAAATTTTATTTAATAAAATTTGTAGTTTATTTTGCCTAATTAATACAAAAAAAAACCGGAAATAGTTTTAAATTCCAGTTGAAAAAAACTAATTACCAGAATTCATCTTTGAGTTCGTTATATACTGTATACCGTACAGCACTGACTAAAGTATCCCCCCTGTGTATAATACCCCCTCCCCAGCTATTGAAAGGTTCCCTCTAAAGTAACTGGATATAGCTGTTAATATTATGTACCTAGTACATACATGAATTCATATTTTATTATACCAAGGTACCCCAAGCTGTACCCTTTGAGTAAAATACCCAGTATCAGCGTGTAAAAAAAATCTTGAAAAATTTCGGGTAAAAACTTGATTATGAGCCAATCAACGTCCAACGATATTTGGCTTCAATCATTCTAGATGTTGATCGATTATCTTGTACTACTGGGCTGTGTCCTAGTAGAGGTGACTCGATACTCGAGTAGAAAAATATCGATATATTTTTCCCCAACTCACGTTTACTTTGATTTATCATGTCAAAACGAATGCCCGGGAGATTTAAATTCTTTATTGGTGGATCGATTTTAGGTGCCATTACTTGTTATTATTTGAATAAGCCGAGACAACTAAAAGAATGGTCTCCTATAACTGGTCCATATACGAAAGACATATCCCCAAGAGAAAAACAATGGCCACCTTCTGTTCCGATTCCTTTCGGATATCCTGGTGAGTTAAATAGGGTAAGCAGCGAAGATAGCATTATTGAACTATTAATTTTATATTTTTATCCTAACATTAAATTATAACATTAAATTATCATAAATATAAAAAAAAAATTACTCTTTTTTTTCAGGGCCAATTAATGATGCATTCCCAAGAAAGGCATATTACGCTTCATATAATCGACAACTTCGTCATCCAAACTGGGTAAAAAAATTTTAAAAAAATTATGCAGAAGATTACATATCCATAAATGTAATTTACTTATTTCTCATCGGTTATTATAGGTATTTGAACATTTAACTAATGAATCTCTGAAAATTGGTGAAGGTGTAGATCGTAAATTTTCAAAATTTCATGAAGATCCGGAGATTCCAGCAATGTTTTCTGCAAAGTTAACTGATTATTATAAGTCAGGATATGATAGAGGTCATATGGCTCCAGCTGCTGATGCTAGATTTTCACAAGAATCTCTGAATGAAACTTTTTATTTGACAAATATTGCACCTCAAGTTGGAGTTGGATTTAATAGAGATTGTATGTTTTTTTGTTTTTTTTTAATTTCACCATAGATGATATCACCTAGTTTATATAATTGATACTAATTAAAAATGGTTAGCACATATTCAAGCTCTAGTTCATCTATGAAATCATATAATGATATCGTATATAGTGGAAAAATTAACTTTATACTTTTTTTTTTTTTTATGTTTATATAAAAACATTTCTTCAACCCTTTTTCTTATCACAATAGATTGGGCATTTCTTGAAGAATTTTGTAGAAGACTTGTACACAAAGAACTCTTTACAGATGTTTACGTATTTACAGGCCCGGCCTACTTACCGTATGAGGAAAATGGTAAATTAATGCCTTTCCATTATGCGTGTAAATAATTTAAATGAACTCAGTTCATATTAATTCAGGCTAAATTAACATCCCTACTTTCGTCTCTATTATTCATAAGGTAATTGGTATGTGAAGTATAAACTCATAGGCGATCCTCCAAACGTTGCAGTTCCAACACACTTTTTTAAAGTAGTATTAGCCGTTAAAAATGATGATAGTCAAACAAGTGGAAAATTGTATGCTCTTGACTGTTTCTTGATACCAAACCAGTCCATACCGCATAATGCACCACTTGAGAATTTTGTGGTTCCACTTAATGCTTTGGAAAGAGCTACTGGTCTAAAATTTTTTGAAAATCTTAGAGAGAAAACTGTTCCTCTTTGTGAAGCTACAAAATGTGTATTGGTTCCTCCTTTAAGATGGGTAGATAGTAATAGCAAAGAGAAGTTACCAACTAATCAAGAGCCAAAGAATTAATTTCATAATTAATATTAGTCATAGGACAAATGAATGCTGTTACTTATAAATCAAATGAGTTGACACACCTAATTTTATATATATATTTTTGCAAAAAAATCATTTAAACAAATTTATATACATAAACCTTTCTTTAAATTTTAAATATAATGTATATTCTTTAGTATTTAATAATTTTTTGTTTAAAGTTTTAATTCTTTATTTTTAGAAGGATAGGAATCTTTCACTAAAGTTGTTCAATTCTTTACTATGTTTTTTAAGTTAAATACCTGACTCACCCCAAGCAATAATATGATTGGTTAAAATAATCTTTTAAAAATTAAAGAAAATAAAGTTGTAGAGAAGAAAATTGGCTTGGTGAATCTCAAGATACTTGGGGTCAAAGAAGAAAACATAAGAATCTACAATTTCACTATTACACAAAGTATAATACTTCGTGTAACAGTAAATTGTAGATCTTTATGTTGTTGGAATCCACCAAGTCAATTTTTTCTTCAACTTTTAAAAGATTATTTTAACCAATCATATTATTTCTTGGGTGAGTCAGTTATTTGACTTAAAGAATATAGTAAAGAATTGATCAACTTTAGTGGAAAATTTCTATCTCTCTACTTAAGATTAAAAACTAAAACTTTAAATAAAAGATTAATAAATATATACTAAAGAATATATATTTAAAATTTAAAGAAAGATTTATATGTATATTTTTAAATAAATTTGATTTAAATGATTTTTTTGCAAAAATTTACATATAAAATTGGGTGTGTCAACTCATTTGATTTATAAATAACAACATTCTAAGCCTTTATATATAGACATGTCTTGTATTTGTCTTATTCAGTGTTTAAAACTAAATCCAATTAAATTTCTCAATTTAAAAAAATTTAAACACTACGTCAACTTTAATATTAAACTAAAGGAATTGGTGGTACAATTAAATATATTTTACGCACACTAATAATCAAAGATGAAATACATTTTTTTTTCTTTTTAAATTTATGTTACCAAAAAAAAAAAAAATCGGGAAGAAAATATAATAATAAAGGCAAAGTTTATCATAACAAAAAATAACAAAAAAAAAAAAAAAAAAAAAAACAAAAAAAAAAAAAAAAAAAAAAAAAAAAAAAAAAAAAAAAAAAGCCAAAAAAAAAAGTTAAAAAAAAAAAAAAAGAAAGTTATTGTTCACTATTTCCCAAAATTTGAAAACTAGTAAGAAAAAAAATAATAATTGCAGAAACCCATTGTACTTAATTGTAAGCTCTTAATGCAAAAAAATGTGTCAATATCACTTTTTTGTCTATGTTTGAATCTTATTTATTCATATATCATTATATGAATTATAATATATAATATATATATATATATACAGTGATATACACGGAAAATACTCATCAAAAAGATATCATTCTGCCTCATTAGTCCCAGACTAACTAATAAATACAGATGATTACTTTGACACAAGATGATAACTTTTAGCATAGATCACAGCTTCTCCACAACTTTCTAACACACGGTATATGCGGGTTCTTTTATTGCGTAAATTTAGTTACAGTGTTGAGTGCACCATTGTTCACGTCATGTGATAAACGATGTGACATCGGTTTCCGATTCGTATAATCAGCATATTTTACAATGAAATCCACTTGCCTATAGACAAATAAGAAAATAAGTAATGAGCGCATAAAGTACTGAAGTAAAAGACATTGTCAAGAACAAGTACATACTGTATAGTTTCAATAGCCTTCGGACTTCTTCTCATTCTTACGAACCGTATTGCACGATCAGCGTCACAACAGAATTGTATTTTAAGTAACCAGCAACATGCCACTAAGCCGGCCCGCCCAACGCCTACATGAAAAAAATCAACGGAATCGAATTTTTTTTAGAATGGAATTAAAACATAAAACAAAATTGAAGATACTACTAACCACCACGACAGTGAGCCAGAACTCTTTGACCTGATTGTATATGACGATCCATTTGCATTACAACCTGATCCATCTGGTCCATAGTATCTGGACAACCACCTTCAACCATCGGTATTCTAAAAAATTAAAAATGAAATTTTTAATTATACAATATATATATTTTTTTAAAACATAAAAATAAAATAGCTAAAAAGAGGTAATAGAAACTAACCTAATAATTTGTAAATTGTGCTTTTGAGCCAATTCACAATACTTTGGCCATGGTACTCCCAAAAATGCTAATTCCTCGTCATTAAGGCAACTATAATATTTCACCCATATAATAAAAGAATTAGGCATATATATATAACAATTTATTAATATAGCATTAATACATTAATTAAAAACATTAACTTGAAAATATTAACATACCATATAATCATCGATATGTCCGAAGATTTTAATCTTTGAAAATCCAAATCTAAATCACGGTCAATCGTTGCTCTTCCTCTTACTGGACCATTAAGTCGAACTTTTTTACCAGGACATGAACTTAATGCTAAGTTACCTATTAAAGTCGGACTATGATACGTACGAGAGCCGCGTCTCTGTAAAGTTTGAGAAGTATTTCTCACAGTTTCATAATAATGTTGATAAAGGGACGCAGTAGTGTACACGTCAAAAAGGTCTATCGTCCCGGAAAGTGGGTCCAAAGAAAGACCCTCAAGCAGCTCTTCTGGAACGATCCAACTGATGCTGTTAACATAAACATAGAAAGCAAGTTCTTATAAGTTACGACCTAATAGTTTTTTAAAGTAAAAAGGTGTGGCTTTGCTTACTTGATGGGGTGAGTCAACGACGTTTTCAGGCTGACTCGTGGCGGAGAATTACAAGACGCGGCCGGTCTATAATTAAGCGAAGTTACGGGCGATACAGTGTCTGAGGAAGTAGAAGCCATATTTGGAGTGTTTATAAAACGAGAAATTTACAAGAGAAATAAAAATTGCACAATAAAGATAAGGGAGCGGATAATGAAGATTGATAGTGGCGCTTTATACCGGTTAAGAAGGAAATTGCGGAAAAGTGTGATAACTCTATCAGGCGTGTCTTGCAATATATATATATTTATTGAACCCAATTTATTGGATACAATTTTTTTGAAAGTTGACTCGGAAACATCCAGATGCAGCATTTGCCAAACCGAAAATAGATATATCTTCCTTTTTCATCTCATGTTGTACTAGTGTCCGAGTGCTAGTGTCCGAGTGAGACAAACAAAGAGTATAGATAGGATTTACATATTTAAAACATATTGTGTTTTTATGTTTGCTATCGTACGCCACAATCTTGCCAACGTTTCATCATACTTTGTCAATTGGTTCCTTTTTAGAATCTCACATAACATACCACTTACGTAGCTCCGAACGTGAGTACACTAAGATCTTCATAAGAATGTAGGAACGAACCACATCAAACATTAAATATTTCTTGCATTAGCATAGGATTTATGTAGTACATGTCGATTTAAAATTTGACGTTGTTACACATAATACATTTGGAGCATCACACATGAGTTTTATGTAACATCGATATGTAAGGAAGAATCATTGTTACACGACCGAATAACCGAAATTTCTAAATTTGGAATTAATTTTCATCAAATCCCAAGAAAAGGAAGATATTTAGGCGGGCAGATGCTAGTACAGCATAACTTTAATGTGATAGGGACATGAATATGTATGATTTACATGAGAAAATCCGATAACACGAAACATTGTCATTCAAGTTTGATGTTTGATCTTTTGCTGTTATATACATACAAAATAAGGAGTATTCAAAGTCATTGATTGTATGCAAGATAAAAAAAAAAAAAAAAAAAAAGAGATATAAACGAATAAAATAAATAAATATGTATACATATAATAAAATAAATAAAAATAAATAATAAATAAATAAAAATATTATAATACATAATAATAATCGAATGTAAAAACAAATTCTAGCCTAAAAATAAAATTTGTACGTATATCTTTATTTATATTAAATGGTTAATGCATTTACCGATCGGCCAATGATAAGTGTCGCCGGAGAAACTACCTGTTGTTTTTCTACCACCTCACCTAATGTTGAAACCGTCGCGGGAATGATCCTTTCTTCAGGACGATTACTATTCTCTACAAATACTGAAGGTAAATTTTCGGGATACCCTTTATCTAATAACTCTTTTGATAATTCATTCGCTTTACCAACAGCCATGAGTACAACTGTAGTACGCATCTCGTGATATTTAGGTAGTTCTGGAAATCGTCCTTTGGTTCCCTGACCAGTTATGATGAGTACTTGGTCTGACAACCCTCTATGTGTCACAGGTACATCTGCGGCCATCGGCGCCGATAATGCACTACTTATTCCGGGAATAACTTCAACGTTCCAACCTTTATCTCTGAAGTATGCTAATTCTTCTCCTCCACGTCCAAACAAAAATGGATCACCAACTTTCAGTCGTATGACAGTTTTACCTTCATTTAATGCATCAAGACACCAAGTTTGAATTTGATCTTGTGATTCAGGTGTTTTATCTTCCCCTGATTTTGCAGGTGCTAAACGAATTTCACATGTAACATTTGAGAATATAGCAGGAGGAACGAGTCGATCAGATACAATTAAATCTGCTGACATGAGTGCTTTAGTAGCTTTAACAGTCATAAGTTCTGGATCTCCTGGACCTGCCCCAACCAGAATGATACGGCCTTTTTTGTTAGAATCAATTTGCTTTTCAAGAGTTTCATCTCGGTCTTTCTGTAAAGTACGTTCTTTAATCAATGAAATATTAGGAACATCATCATTCTCGTAAAAAGACATCAATGTAGTAATTTTTTCTTCATCTAACTGTTGTAATTCTTCCAAGGTCCATTGTTGACAAATTCTTGACATCCAATTCATTCTTTTTTTAGACGAAGTATGACTTGGATCAGTCTCTCTAACTTTTTGTCTTAAAAGTCCAACACCCTTAATTGCACCTGCAATTCCTTTTGGTAAATTCTCTGCTAAACGGTCACGAATTATAGTTGCTAATTTTGGACCTTGACCATTAGTTGATACAGCTATTTGAAGTGGCCCATCACGATGTTCTGCCATAAAGTAAAAATCACACATCAACGGTACATCAGCTACATTCACTGGAATTTTCCTTTCTCGGCACATTACGCAAATTTCTTTTGACCTAATCGGATCATCAATAGCTACTAAAGTCATATCAATTCCCTCTAAGTCGGAATTTTCAAATTCCCTATTTATCCATTTATGAATTTGTTTTTGTTGAATACGATATTTTAATTCATCCTTAAGACCTTTTTCTGGGCATACTAATGTTATAAGTGCGTCTGCTTCTAAAGATTTTATGACTCGACTTGTTGCAACTTCACCACCACCAACAATAAGTACATTTTTGTTTTTTGTGCGCCAAGCCAGAAGAAGAGAACCACCGCTTCTAATAATTGGATATTCTTCAGAAGACATTGTTTATTTCGTTATTTTGTGAACTTTCGTGATATTTCAAAGTAAGAAAGAAAAACTTTAAATGTATAAATGTATAATATATATATATCTGATATATATATATATATGATTTGTCATATTTGTCTTATCAATGTTACTTAGTCTAGTACTAGATAACGATAACTGCAGAACTGATAACGATAACGAATTTACCCTAAATCCTGAAATCTGGGGTTCATCTAAAATCTGGGGTTTAGATATCATGGGATGTTTATCCAACAACCCATTTATGTATAATCTGCAAAGCATGATACCGATATAGTAAATTTAATTCGTTGACCGATATAAAGCTGAGCGTTTATTAGTCGGTCTTTTGTAATTTCTTCAATCTCGAGATGTCGACGTCCTCAACAACTTCAACAAACACACCACGTTATGGTGCTCCTCCAGTAATTCCAAAACCCATTCCTATAACGAAAAACGGCGTCATAAAAATCAAGGAGCTTAGGCCATGGATTCGTGGCTTTGACTTAAAATGCATTATATTGCAACATCGTATGTTATTTTTATTTTATAAAATTTATTATTAAAACTTTAAATCTCATTCGTCTCTAATTTATAGTTTCATATCGTGCTTTGAAGTCTATAGCAGAAGTTGAGATTCATAATTTTCTTGTGGCTGACGATACAGCAGTGTGTACTCTTGTAATTTGGGAAAATGGTCAATTTTACAAAAGTGGTGATATTGTTCAAATCACCCATGGGTAAGAAAACATTTTTTGTAATCTTTTTAATTATTTTAAAAGTTATTTAATATATTTTCTTTTTATAGTGAAACTAGAATTCATGAAGGTACATTCGAATTAACTGTAAATAAAAATTTTGGAAAGATAAAAGTCGTTGATTGGTGATTATTTATGAAATGGTTATTGTGATTATTATTATTCTTTATTATTATGAATATTATTGTTGTTATTAATATTTAATCTTTATTTTATTTTATAAATTTTAGGGATGTAATGCCATATGTCGAAGAAGAACAACCTAACTTGAGTAATTTATTATGGGTCCAGGAAGAAGACAATCAATTTGTAAGATTATTAAAATATGCACAAATTTCCAAACACTTTTAAAAATAAAAGTGCGTGGAAATCTTGGGCACTTCCATATATAGTTTATTCGTTTAAACCCTAAAAAATAAAAAAAAATGCTCACATTACATTATTCTTTCTTTACAATAAAGGTACCAATGACTCATAGTCGTGTTCCTCTTGATTTAGTTACTTTTAAACCAATTGAACAAAACTCTCAACAAATTCAAAGAAATACTAATGAACAACTAATACAAACGACGACTCAACTAACGAATACCGAAATCAAGCAAGAGGAGGATGCTAAAATAAAATTAGAAGAAGAGGAGATAAATGATGCTCCAAATAATGCCTCCGAAGTAAAACAAGAGCTACAACATATGCGTCCTCAAATGTGGCGTCAATCGAGCGAATCACGACAACATTTATCATCTCAACAGTCTGATCGCCCGCGCGGTGCAAAACGTAAACCATCTTATCAAAGACGCGATAGCTGGTGGTCAGATAATCGTGATCGTGATCAAGACAGAGATGGAATGAGAGGTGATCCGAGAAATGAACGTGGTGATCGTGGTCGAAATCAGGATAACAGACGTGGGCGTCAACCACTACGTAACAGAGGTCGTGATTGGGACCGAGGTAGGGATAGAGATCATCGTGAACGTGATCGAGAGTGGGAATACAATAGGCCACATACTGATCTTGACCGGCCGGAAGAGGGTGAATTGGTGGACATTGACTTTGCATCCTTTGCTGCTGGCATGAATCGAGGAGATAATAATCATTCTGCTCGAAAACAACAGAGGCTTGATTGAACGAATAACGTAATGGACGTTATGTATTTAAAGAAATCGAACATAATTAATAAATTTTGGTATATTATCATGACGATTTTTTTTATCCAAAATATGCTGCAATATTACATCACATATCACTTGGAGGTAATTTGCATGAATAGGATCTTTTTTATATCCTTTGTAATAATAATAGAATTACTTTCTTATTATTTAAGATCTCAAACCATAATTTATTTATAGTGAGTAGTAAATGTAAAATTGAAATTGTTTATTATAAATAAAACTTTATTGCTTTCTCGTCTGTTGTTTTTATTTCAATAAATTCTGTTGCTTTTACACTGACATTAAATAAGATTAGGGCGATACAACGATGTCTGTTAATAATAATGCCTTTGATTTCACGTGATTGTATATATACGGAGTATTTTAAAAGTCGCTAAACAAGGTCCCTTTTTTAATTATCTCAATGGTTAGGGGATCTTTACTATTCTATTATTTTAAAGCATATACGTATAAAAAAAAAACCGCGAAAAAATCGTGCATAACTTGATTGGTGGATCTTTCACATGATCGAAAAATTGTGTTGGCGAAGATTAGCATATCGTTATCAAATAGAATTTACTGTTACCGAAAACATTTAAATTCATTTAATTGTCAATTTTCAATTAAATTAACGATATGCTTCCGCGTTTACCACAAATCACTCGTTCAGTTACCAGATCAACCCTTTTTCGAAATTTACCTGTCTTATCCCAGAGTTTTCCAATAGCTAGAGGGCAAATAGTTCGATACCAACATGCTAAAAATCCGCCAAAAGTTAGTTTAGAAGATCCTCAAGCTGGGGATTACCCAAACTTACCTGTTGAATTTAAATTGGATAGACCACCTCTAGGGTGGCAAGATCAACAAAATAGGAGAAATTTTGGTGAACCGGTTAGTTACTCAAACGAAAGAAAATTTTGTGGTTTACTTGAAACAAAATGCGAATATTTGGGACACAGCTATAACGTTTATTAGCAACCCTATGAATCTATTTGGAAGTCTATACTTTTATTTGCCATTTTTTCTATGGGTAATCTATTTAATAACCGTTTCTAATTTTCTAATTTTCTAAATAATTCATCTTATCCCGAAACATCTTAATTAATAGATTCATGAGGAAGAAGAAGTCTTAACTGTATGGTCGTTTGATAGATATGATATTGATATGGGGGATGCTGCAATGCAGCTTTTAACTTTCTTTGCTCTTATCGGGGTTTACATGTTTGCGATCAAACAATCCGATCACGAATCACCCGCAGTTAGTTTTTTTTTTTTTTTTATTGATTCATGGATTTTGTATAATTTTTATAATGTGATCTTTATTTTTTTATTTTTTTTCTATTTAAAAATGTAGATAAAAAAACAATATCCATACGATGATTTAAGTGTTGAATTGGGTGGTGAAGTTGTCAATAGTGATTCTGATCAATAATAGCTAACGTCAAATTAATTTTCGCCTTATCCAGTCGATTTTTTCGGTCATACTCGTGTAACATCAACTATACTTATCATTAGAGATAAATAGTAAGGGATGATGAATTTAGATCAATGAGAAGTGATAAAATGTTTTAAATTATCATGAAGGTCTTTAATTAAGTGTTATTGACATAAACAGAAACTCGGAACTCTCATTGACTTTTAGATTTTTCCAATATTCCAATAAAGAGAATAATTTCATGAGCCTTTTTATTTGTAAAATTATTGGCGTTACCAACAATTGATAGCACGGTCACCTAATTTTCCGACCTATATCTTTTTAAATTTTAGAATTTTTCGGTTTTTTTCCTTCTCTTTTTTTTAAAAAATAGTTGATAGAAAACGGTTATTAGTAATGCTGTGACGACTAGGGTTCCGCAAACCCGGCACATGTCTGTACAAAAAAAATGTTTAAGGCACGGGCATAAATTAATTTTAAAATTTGGGACACAGGCACGACATAAGCAGCACTTATATAAGCACCGGCACTAGCATCGGTACTAGTACGTATCAATACCGGGCATAACGATTAGTCATATATGCAACAGATGATAATTAACTACGTATACGTATCACATATCTCTTTTTTTATTATGATTTACAAAAATCTCAATTGCAAATTATTTGACACAAACCATAAGGCATGAATTAAATTGAATGATATCAATATTAAATACATTTCTAAAGCGTAAAATAGGGATATTAAAATGGAAAGAGAAAAAAAAACAATCTAAAGCAAGGAAAATATAAAATAAATAAAACATCAACCAACAGTACCAATTAACTAATAGATAGACATTGGTGTGTTCAGTCATATAAAAATTAATGATTAAGGAGTTTTTTCGGATTAGGATGATTTATCACTTTTTATATATTTAAATATATATATATATATATATAGTAAAGAATGACTTGTGTGTTTTTAGATGTCTAGAGAGAATCGCTTTACTCTTCTTGATTGTTTAGCATAACCCGATTTTAAACACATTTTAACAAATTACATTGAACTTTTTTTAATGTTAATATTTAATTTCAATTGACTCTTTACAAAAGTTCTGTTTCATAATGGGAACTATTCAAAGAGATATTTTCGTTGCATGTAAAAAATTTAAAATTTTTTAATGTAACTTTGTTATAAACGTGTTTAAGAATCGATTTACGCTAAAAATAATTGAAAAAAGTAAGGCGATTCGTTTTAATATCTAGAAACATACAAGTTATTCTTTACTATTAAAATATATATATAAAGCAGTGTTGGGCTGGACATGAACATTGGACCACCCTTGTCCAGCATGCGGGCGAAATTTTTTTGATGGGATAGTTGTGATTACTAAAATTAAGTGATACGTATACATAATGATTTATAAAATAATTTATAAATTCTTTATGATCAGTTTCATAAACTAAGAAAAAGCAATTGACCAATCAAATATGATTCATTTATGCAGTTTTATAAACGGTTTCATAGCGATTCATAAGCAATTTATAACTAAGACAAGCAATTGACCAATCAAATACAATTGCACGATAAAAATATTATCATCGAATTTTTAATAGTCATTAAATCAAAAATTTATAAAAAGTTCGTTAAGGTTAGCATTTATATTAGGGCTAGAAATTAGTGAAATATATAGTAAAATCGCCCAAGGAAAACTTTTTGTTAGGCCATATTTTATCAAAAAATTTTTTTATATTTTTTAAAATTATTGGCCATATTGGACTGGACATAGATCCAAGTATTATGTCCAATGTCCAGTCCAATAGCATAAAAAAATAGTTATATGTCAACATTGTATAAAGTGATAAAGCATTATCCTTATCTTGATCAATAAATAAGGTTTAAATACAGAAATAACCACGCGCATATTTGTTATATTCATTAAATGACTATTAAACGATTAATCTAGTAATCATATAAAATTTAAAAAATGGTTAAGAGAATAATTTAAGGTTTTTAATTGTAAAATTTAACCATCTAATATAAATAAACGGTTTAAGACATTTTTTATAGGAGGACCCCTAAATTTCCGGGTCGGAGAATGCATCGTGGTTAGGGTCGGTTAGGGTTAGCTATTCTGGTTAGCAGGATCTATAGTAAAATTATTAGCTGGGCATTTTTTTACTTAATGAACGACTATGATTTCATTACGTAGTAAAATTCTTAGTGATCTTGGGCAATATCGATCAATTCCGGCCCATCCGACCAGGATTCCGATGCATTATGACCCGGAATTTTGGGGATCCCCCTGCATGAGTTGTTAAAGACGGTTAAACGAATAACGGTTCCAATTCTTACTGTACTTTCATCCCCTCATATCTTGTGTTAATTAAAATTGTGTATAATTCTAAATATTTATTAATTGATTTAACTCTAATGCATAAAATTATGTTAATTTGAAACATTAAATAATTGCAAATTATTGAGTATGCATCAATGATAAATACTTTTTTTAAAAAAAAAAGGAAGAATGAAAGAAAGATATTAAAAATATCATATCTGTAATTAAAGAAATTTATATTGCTAGTTCAAAATTCATAATGAAACAAATGCTAAAAATACAATATCTAACAGAAAATAAAGAATGTCAAAAAAGTAATTTTAAATAACACCATATTAATGATTATCAATGTAACCAAAATTTCAAATACTCATATGGTCCTGTCGTCCATTATTATTATTAGTAACAGTAGGTGGACGATATTTAGTGGGCTGTAAAGGAGCCACTAAACTAGAATATTGTTGATTTGATAATTCATTTGGATCATCTCTGAACACATCATCATCGTCATATATGGACATTGGTACTTTGCTAAAATCAACCCAAAATGAGTATTATTGAAAAACGTATATGATAAATTAAAACGTAATGTATCAACATACCCTCTACGCTTTTCACTTGGACTAGGGATTTGTTCCACTTCGTTATAGTCCGAAAACGGATCAATCGCAGTTGCTTTACTAGAAAAAAAAAAAAGATGTAAAGATTTAACATACATTAATAATAAAAATTCTAAATATTACATATCACAAACTTCAATTACCTGCCACCAACTCCGGCATCATCTGAATCAAAATAATTGTCATAATTGACACGATAATTATCTGTCGGAAATTGCTTGATAAAGAAAAACAGTAACATAATTTAATCCATAGTAAATCAATTAGTGAAACGCTTTACATCATAAATTGTCGTTAAAATACCACAGAAATTTGTTCAGCAGCTCGAATTTGCCCTCGCTCGACCATATCGTCATACATTTGGAACGCTTTTATAAGTTCCTGATTTATCGAAAGAAGCGTATCTAATAAATTCTAAAAGTTAATAAATATTAAGATTATATTTCACAAACATAATGAACATAACTTACCCAACCAATGTTCATCTTGTACTTCATTTATGTATTGATTAATATTTTGAAGTAATGATTTACATTTTCTATAAAATTCCTTTTTAAAAAAAAATTTAATAGTTATGTTGGAATCGTTATATTGGAATAGATTATATGAAATCAATTTTTTATAGATTACCTGGATCAACTCATTTTTGGTGATGTCTTCAGCCTCTGGATCAGTAAATGAGATAGTTTGTATGAACAATTGTACATTATTTTTCGCAAGTTCAATATCCCCAGCAATTGTTTCCACTGATGTAGTCTAAAGAAATTGAATTATTATAATATAAGCACACATTTAGTAGTTCATCAATAAGAAAATAAAGTTGAAATTTAGCATAAATATATACCGAGGGAGCATGATGCTAAAACGTAAAGTGGATTAAAAAATGATTATTATTAAAAAATTAAATAAACCAATATCTTACAAAGAAAAAAGAAATATATACCACTCGTCTAGGATTTTGTGTAGGATTATTTTGGTATTTATCTTCCGGTATTACTCCCATTTTTTCTAACTTATTATAAAGATTAGCAACTTGCCATAGACTAGGTTCATTTTGGAACATTTCAGTCCAATTTCTTAATAATTCAACGAGTCTATGTTTAACGTCAGGATTAAAATTCGGCGTCACTATGACATGTTCTATTGCTTCAAGGAATTTTTTGGAAGCGATTTCGGCTTTTATAGCAAAAGAGAAAAAAAACTTTTAAAGGATCTGGAATTCAAATTAATCAAAATTAATGAATGCTTACCATGAAATTTTGCGCCACAATTTTCGGCCATAGCTTGCAATACCTAATATGATCAAAAGACTTAATCAACAATTTGTCATGATTAATTCGATTACGTAAATCACTAGTCAAAATAACATACACTTAAAACTCGGTGTTGTATCTTTATTGATTGCATCCTGGCTAGTTTTTTCCGAATGAATTTTGCAGCCTCTTTAGCACCGGCATCTGTTGCATTTACGGCATTACACGTATCTATTATTAAAGTCCAATCATCGTCTTCTTTAACAATGCATTGATCTATTTGAATAAAGTATTATTATAATGATACATTCTAAATAAGATTATAAAGAAAATAAGTCTATACCCAAATACTCTGTAATTATTGTAGGCTTTTCGAAAATTTTCATCATTGTATAGTTTTCTTAACGAAACGTATTTGACGTGACCAATTTGTTTTAAAAAAATGCACCACTTAATGGCTACCAAACTTAATTCAAGATCTATTTATTTCGCTTCACTATTTTATAACTTGTCATAAACCCGATTTGTAAGGAAAAAGTAAATATTTGAACAATATTTTTATGATTCTACTGGTGATACGTTTATTTCAAGTTGAAACAAAAAAGAAAATTATATAAAGAAAAATGTTTCACGGAGTTCTCAATATTTGGAAAAAAGACCAACTAATGCAGGTTTATATATCTTATTTTCTAAGTTAGTTTCGACGCAGTATTCTGTACAATATACTTGGTATTCTTGTGTGCTTAGCATTAGTGTTGCGCAATTGTCCTCGTGGACATTATTGTCGGTGTCCCCAAAAGTAAGCAACGTAGATCATTTTGTTAATAATGCAATAGCACTCATAGAACATAGTAGCATGTGTTTCTACTATATAGAGGATTTTTGCGAGCCAATTTGCCAATATTTTTGATGCGTATTATCAAACTAGTTAAGGAACAGCATAAGACATTTGGAAATGGACTAGTAAAACCACAGTTAATCAATTTAAGATTTAGTTCAAATATTTATACGTATGCAGTACAACTTTTTATTATACATTAGCTCAATAAAATATTAAGATTTTTAGATTAATTCTTCAAAGATATTATTAGGGATGTTAACCGGTCCCAATCGGTTCTGAGATGATTAACAAATTACTAGTTCTAGAGAAGTATAATTGCTTACTTCCAATAAGTAACATACTTTGATGCCCTAAGAAAAAAGTTTATTAATAACTTTTTTAAAGAAAATCCCCTTAAAAACTGGCAATTTTCTTGGGACCGATTCCAACCAAATCAGTCCTAGGACCAGTTTTTGGGATTTTTTTAAAAAAAGTTATTAATAACTTTTTTCTCAGGGCATCAAAGTATGTTACTTATTGGAAGTAAGTAGTAATTTCTCAGAACCGGTTAGGACGAATTAGATGTTATGCTCTAAAAATACGTAGAATAACAAGATTGTCAATTTAACTTGGCGAATTTGAAGATTGTCGCGTAACACAAACTAGTTACGAAACTTGTATTTAATTTACATATGGCTTGGTGCTAAAGAGACGAAATTGACAAAAAATTAATTATCTCAAACTATCGATTAGTATCACATGATTTTGATGCCATTCGACGGGTACCCCAATTGGAATCGTGTTATGTGTTATTTATTGATAGTTCGGTCGGTCCCATATAAACGAAACTCTAGACTAAATAAATGGTAGAAACATAAATTACTTACAGCACAAGTAACCTTATTTCCTTCTCTTTTTGACGAATTTTTCGTAAAATTAATAAAAGTCCCATAATTACTGTAATATCGGTGCCAGTTAGTGTTGCGCCAAATCAACTAACGTAGTGTAAGTTCGTTTTCATTAGCTGATGCGGGATTAATTTTTACAACATACGTATTCATATTACAGTATACTCTTACTTCAGAAATTTAATAGAAGACTTTCCTCTCCATAAGAAAACTTTTACCAACTCTAAAAAGGGAAGCCGAAAAACTTTGCGCATTCACAAGAATTCTACCAACTCTTAAAAAGAGAAGCTGAACAACTTTGCGCATTCAAAAGAATTCATAAAACTTTTACCAACACTCAAAAGAGAAGCTGAACAACTTTGTGCAGCTAGGACAACCCCTTCGCCATATTTTATGGAGTGTTAACAGTTGGTGGCCTTCGAGATCAATCAGACTTAAAAAAACCAATATTACATACAGTGCGTGAATCACGCCAATATTCCAATTAACTAACGCCTATTCAAGATACCAACGTCGTAGAGAGTCACACCAGACAACGCCAAACCGATGAAAAAAAGCGCAATAAAACTCGACACCAACAACGAAAGTATTCCAATTAACGGCACCAAAAAGCAAAACACGACGACGGTGAACGATTCAATACAAGAAAAGAAGAGTTAGTACTGCGAAAACAAAAAAAAAAAAAAGAAAGAAATACTTAGCTGTACGCGTAACCCAACAACGCCAACGACGAAAGAAAAGACTGTATCACGGAAAAAAGCACTGAACCTACGACACAGAAAAACCACTGAACCTACGACAAAGAAAAAACCACTGAACCTACGACACAGAAAAACTACTGAACCTACGACAAAGAAAAAACCACATTACAAGAAGCACCAAATTGGACGACACCATGTTGCAAGGAATACCGAATGGGAGACACCAGGGACGAGAAAAGAAATACCGAACTGGACGACACCAACGACGAACGATGCAAATCAGCAAAATCGACGAACAAACTAAACTAATAATAAAAAAATAAATAAATAAATAAACGTTAGTACTCATTAAATAAAAAAAGAACAAGAAAAAAAACGAAATAATTTTATTTTTTTTAAAAAAAAAATAAAATAATGGATTGTCGTTGCTGGGAATCGAACCCAGTGTGAATCACCGACAGACAACGACTTAAAACCGTTTTTCTCTAAAAACGTAAAAAGGGAATGAGAACATTCCTTATCTGCACGGTAAAAGGTAAACCCCTAATGTTTCATTAAAGATGGGTAGAGTACATTCTTTAACGGGACAGTCTAATCGCCTCGACATTATCCAGAGCTCAGGTGAGGCCTAACGGTGCACGTCAAGACGTTACCGGTCTGCATTAGAGATAAATAACCAGACGAGCTTATAGTCCACCCCATCAATAACTAGTCCAAAAAGGGTCAAGTTATTACCATCAGACCTGGGCCATGTTCTGAAGAAAAAAGAAAGTCAAATGGTGAGGGTTTATATAAAAAAATATTTCATAATACGCGGTGTGTTTACCCCAAATCCGTAAATTACGGGGATCATGGGAAAAATAAAAAAAAAATAAAAAAAAACACGAGTAATTTCATAATACGCGGTGTGTTTACCCCAAATCTGTAAATTACGGATCATGGGAAAAATAAAAAAAAACAAAAAAAAAAAACACAAGTAATGATGCAAACCCAGAAAAGGAAATTGACCTTCTGAACTCGATTTTCAGTATTTTATATTGATAATATTAAAACAATATAAAAAATACTGAAAAACCCGATCCGAATAAGAGCTAAATATAGATATATATATCAGTATATAATACCTGGGTCGTTTTCTGAACCATGAACCCATGAACTGTACCCAGGTCTTTTTCATGGGGATACTGTTTTCATAGGACGACTTTCACCTGATTGGCTGATGTAAATCAATTGCCCGGGCAACTTATTTATACACAAAAAAATCGTAAATTCTAGTTCTAAACGAACGTAAATATTCACTGTTAAAATTAATCCAAAATAATCCACCTTTCCAAGAACTTCGCTTAGGAGCGAATATTTTATGTAAGGTTTAAATGCTAAAAACGGTCAATAAAAAAAGAAAATTGAGATATTACATGTTAGTTTTAAACTTAGAACTTTGAGTATACTGTTTAATGTGATATATATTATAATAATAATACGACAGGGTGAAACCCACGCAAAAGTGGTCACGTTATTGATGCAGATCACTACCTATAATAGCAATTACCCTATCACTAACCCTAACTAAGTAAGATCTGCATCAACAACGTAACTATTTCACCCTTTCATATAATAATAGGCTTGTACTAATGTTTACAGTATATTTTACGTTTATAGAGCTATTCTACTAGAGTAATAAATAGTGTTCCGACCCGGGTCAGATAATAGTGACCCAACGGGTCAGATATTTAACCCGGGTCAACGAGTCATATGGACAATCATAAAGTTTCTTAAATAATCTATTCGCAAAAAAACTTATTCAATGAGATTTTACATAGTGGCGATGTTGTAAATCTCAAAATGTAATAACTTTGATAAAAATTAAAGCGATTATATAAAAAATTTTTTTTATGTACACTAATAAAAAATAAAAAAATTCGATGTGCCGAATGGCACTATTCGAATGCTAATCGACATGCACCATTCATGACTTCACGGAAAGGGATGTCGAATGGCATTCGAATAGTGCCATTCGGCACATCGAATTTTTTATTTTTTACTAGTGCTAATTTATATAGTATCGATCTTTTTTTAAAAAAAAGGGGTTAAAAACATTTACAGCTATTATCATAATTCCTGAAACACCTGACAAAAATTTGTTGAATGATTAAGTTATAGATTTCGGATACGTAATTTAATAATATCAGATGATTATATAAATTACAATAAGAAATATCGACATGCTCTTGTAACTCGTAAATTTCAATTCCTATTCTTTGGCACAGTCCATTTTCGCTCAAACAAAGCCTTTATTCATTTCTAATATTGTGTAAAATTTCAATTCCTATTCTTTAGCAAGATCCATTTTCGTTCAAACGAACGAAGCCTTTATTCATTTCTAATTATTTTTTATTTCGAAGACGAAAATTAGTTTTTAAAAAATTGTGTAAATTTTCAATTGGCAAGATCAATTTTCGTTCAAACGAAACCTTTATTCATTTCTAATTATTTTCAACGAAAATTCATTTTAAAAACTTGTGCAAAATTTCAATTCCTATTCTTTGGCAAGGTCTATTTTCATTTAAATGAAGCCTTTATTCATTTTAATTATTTTCAACGAAAATTTGTTTTTAAAAAATTGAATTAAATTTCGATTCCTATTCTTTGGAAAGATCAAAAAATTTGGAATATCTCTAGAAATGATATTTACAAAGCACCTTTGCTGGCGAATCGTTAAAAAAAATTTAGAAGGCTTATTAGTTCGACAAATTGCTAAACACTTAGATGTTAGCAAGTCTTCTAAACCATCTGCTTCAGATGGACAATCTTTAATTCTTAAATCCCTTTGATATTTTCATTTAATTTTGGATCCCATTTTTGAACGTTAGTACTAAAATTTTTCAATATATAAACATATAAAATTTTTTTACTTTGATAATTCTTCATGCATTCTCGACAAACATTAATAATATCTTTGTCGCTTGGAATCCTAACCTGAGATTCATTTTTAAACTAGTCGACAAATTCATGATCATGTTTAACTTTTTTAATAGCAGCACATGTTCATGTAATATGTATATATTTTTATACCGGTAAATTCTAATTTATATCCGGTCCCTTTTTTGGATTTCTTGCTAAAGTTTATTGGTTGACACGAGCGGTCTTTTCCATAAATTTTCGGGTAAACTAAATACACCAAGCATGTTGGACAAGCGTTGGAACTAGTGCTCCGAACGGGTCGGGTCGGGTTGAAAACTTTCGGGTTAGAGCTTCAACCCGAACCGAACCTGACACGACCCGACCCGACCCGAAATTTTAGGGCTAATATATTAAATTTTTTTTAAAAAAATGAATTCAATCGCCCTTTTGCTCTTAAACGTTTAATAATTCATGTAACGATAATCATCGAAGTTGGCTAATCAAATCTAAGCACGATATGCTTATAAACTCAGCGGGCTACTACAGTAAGAATCGTGCATTGCATATTCTGAATTACAGCTGTTTTCATAAATTCTGAGACACCCTAAAAAAATTTGCCGAAGTCTATTCGGCCAAATTCGATAAGTTATTGATTTCGGTTTGATTAGTGCGTATATAAAAAATTATTGAGTTACTATTGCAGCACATTGTTCGATCGATATT